AGCCTTGAGGACAGGCAGCTATGCCTGGAATGTCAGTTTACCTCTATTGGAGTCAGAAACACACAAACACATACACGCATGCACAGCTGCTATACAAATACACACCCTTGAAAGAACGCACTCTTGCATGCGTGCACCGATGCACAGCTACAGTCACATACACACTCCTTTTGTGTGTGTGCAGCAGAATAGCACTGCATATGAAACATTCCTGTACTGTAGTGCTGTTTTCCTGGGCCAGTAACAGGATATCCTCCCCCTCTGTACTGTCCTGCCTGCTGGACACGGACTCCTACACACACATTCCTGCACATAAAAACACACACACACATATAAATGTGTGTAATATTTGCAGCAGGTCAAATAAGTAGACAGAGGAGCTTATCTGGGCATGAGTGTGTGTAAAAAGAAGGGACATCTGGTCCTCACATGATCCCGAATATAATTAACTGGGTGAAAAATCTTTTGACTTGTTGAAGGCAGAGTGTGAATGTATGAGAGATGAGAGATGGAGAAAGGGAAAAAAGAGCCTCGAATTCCTTTTGCTGAAATGATAAAGTAGTAGCAGAGGCATTATAAGTCGAAGACTCGGCACTCCGGGAATCACTAATTGAAATCTATTCCACAACAGCAAAAATGGTGGTAGAAAAAATAACTTCCAGGATTATAAAAAAGGTCTTTAACTAATATGGGGGAAAAGTCAAACAACTTTTTGTGCAGTTTTTATTAGATTTGAGTTATGATTTGTTCAGTTTTTATGAAATTTAAATTAAACAAGGTAAAGCTTCAAAATAGTTGCCCAAATACATGCCCTGAGTCATTTCATCATGTCTGTGAAATTTAGAGACTTGCCTGTAGTAAAAGTAATAAGACAGCCTGCGATTAGTTTTATGATAGTTTAACCAATCACTGTACAGAGAAAGTAATTATAAAATTGGTCTTAGTCAAAACTAAAGCGCTTTTTTGAAGTGGTGTTTTTGTTAGCTGTCCAAATGTCTCTAGAGACTGTATCAGTCTCGCTCACTGTATCAGTACATTTCTTTTGTCTGCAGGATTGAGTAAATATTTTTTGAGTCCACGAATGCGTTTCTTTGGCATAACTTTTTATTTCCCTGATTTTCCTCTTTGAGAATTTGATTCTGTAAAGAATTCACTTTAAAGGCCAGCTGCTGAATTGCAACACAAGGTGGAGGCTCATTCCTTATCGTTGATATGAGCAAGAGTTAAGAGTTGCACACATATTGTTTTCATTTGTCATTAGCAGACATAGTGCTTAAGATTTTGGGTATTGTGAGGTTGTTGTTAAGTACTGTGCTGTGTGGGTTGCATACATACACCTTCACAAATACACGAGGAAATGCGTTTTTTCTGGCAGGCAGCGGGAAGCTGGATTGGGAAGAAGAGTTATTATACGTTTGGATAATTATTCTTTATATTTGACTCTACAAATCTTGGAAATCAGATACTTACTTGGGATAGCATGCCCTTGACCTCAGTGACATGTGAAGAAGTCCTTTTTTATCATGATATAGCCTTCATTGCAAACCTTAAATAAATATCTCTAAAATTCTAAACATGTCTCAGAGTTATGCTGAAAAACATATTTCATGCAATAAAGTCTTCTAGGCTGGACTCATTAATATCGGGCTGCTCTAAAAGTTGTCTAAATAGGCCCCAGTTAATCCAAAACTGCAGTGGGAGCACTAGAGACAAGAAAGAGTCCCATATTAGCTATTCTTCCTTGGCTTATTTGGGGTTCCTAGAGTTTTTAAAAGTAGAATTAGAAGCAGAGCCTTCAAGTATCAGGCCCCTCTTCTGTGGAATCAGCTCCCAGTTTGGATTTGAGAAATAGGCACTCTCTACTTTTAAGAACTTGCTCTCCTGGATCAGGTGACTCTGAACCATCCCCTAGTTATGCTGCACCGAGCATTTCTTCTTCACTCACCTCGGTTCACTCCCCACATGTTTCTGTACCACTACAACATGTCATTAATGTTGGTCTCCTCTCTCCCTTAGCCTGTGTAATTTCCTGTCCCCATATGCTCTCTTTTTCTTTTCTGTTTTTTCTAACTATACCATCGGTCACAGTGGATGGCTGCCCCTGTCTGGACCTGGTTCAGCTGGAGGTTTCTTCCTGTTAAAAGGGAGTTTTTCCTTCCCACAGCTTGCTTGCTCACAGGGGGTCACTTGAGTGTTGGGTTTTTTCCCAGAATACTGTAGGTTCTTACAATATAAAGCGCTGTGAGGTGACTGTTGTTGTGAATTGTATTTTTGAATTCTTTTTTATGTCGTTTTCACTTTTTGTTTTTAATTTAGTTCAGTTTCATTTTCATTCCCAAGTTGGTTGGTTTGTTTGTTTCAGTTTAGTTTGTGTTTGAAAAGTTTAGTTTCAGTTTTGTTTTTGTTGGTTTCATTTTGGTTTATGCCTTTTAAATTATTATTGTATGAAAGGTGTAACAGATGGGCAGGATTTAGGGAAACCATTACAAGAATTACTATAAAAACACAGAACCTTTTCAAAGCAGTTGACTTACTGTCTCGTGGTTAGAAGATGTTAATATTGCCAAACCTGTCACAACAAGTTATTAGCAGATTTCTGTTAACATTTGTAAAGACAGTAATTTCCCAGAGGATAAATGTTAATAAACTCCATGCTCTCCTCCCTTTTCCTTTAGCACCAGTATGAGACTGGCATTTGTGGTTTCTGGTAAAATCCCCCAACTATTGGATGGCTTGTTATAAATTCTGTAAGCTGCTTTTTGAGCCCCATCTTCCAGTAAAAATATTATTCATGTTAATGCCTTAAAACCTACAAAACAAAGTAAATCTCCATTAATTTTAGGTGTCTTGTGTCATAATTAGCCAACATTTGCATGTTAAACCCATATAAGGGGGGGGGGGGGGTGGGTGTCACTGAAATCCTGATTGAACTGGCATTTTAACCATGCTGATGTTAGTAATTAGGACAACAAAAACCACTGTCCCTGAAGACTCACAAATCCATTAGACAGTGTTTTGTTTTTTTGAGGTCTATTGTTATTTTACACTAGATTTTACAGAGGCACATTAGAGAATGTGTTAATAGATAGATAAAGAGAGAGAATATGGAAGCAAAAAGATGACCAAGATGCCCTCAGACAACATTTTTATTAAAAGGGAGGTGGAAGAGAGAAATAAAGAAAAGATGAGTAGGGAGGTGAAGGGAATGTAGAGGAAACTGTCCCTTCACAAAGCTTTTTAAATAGAGCTGGTCAAATCCTTCAAGAGACTTCACTGGCCACTGTTTCAGAATTTGAGCAATCCCAGAGAGCAGAGAGGAAGGAAAAAGCTCAAAAGGGGCGGTGAAGAGGAAGTGTAGATCAAGAAACTGAAAGGGAGCAAAAAGAGGGAGTGGTATGTGAGGAAAAGAAAGTGATCAAGGCTTAGTTTTCATGTTGACAATAAATCCAGCTGAATTATGCCACTGATTGTCCGAAACCACGTCCTGTGGATAGTAAGAAGAAGGAATGTTCCAAAATGGTACAATATGACAGTCTGGTAGTTTGTCTGAGGCCTGAGGTGGAAGTGAAGAAAAAGCTGCTCACTTTTGCAGAGCTGTGTCAAATGATTACTATTTTCTTTATTTGTTGTTTATGATTTAAAAAAATGAAAAATATCCTCCTCATAAAATCCCAGTGCTCAGGATGACCTCATGAAGTGTTTGATATGTCTGACAAAATGTTGAAAACACCCAAATTTTCAGATTTGTAATCCTGGTGACATATTTTCCACTAGTACTACTAGTACTTCTACTCGTATGTGAGGTTGACAGCTACTTTTCTCTCTAATAACCTGTTGGTTAATGGTTAATGTATCAGCAGACTAGTTTACTAAAGTTATCCTCATTAAATCCCCTCACACAGACTGAAATATTAAAAAAGAAGGGTCAACAACTCCTCATTAAGCTCCTGTTAGAGATACACACATGCTTAAGGGTGAATTATAATGGCTACAAGGCAGTAAAGAAGGAAACCAACATTTTTAGACAGTAATGTCCAGGAAAAGAGAAGGTCAATAAAGGCTGAACTGTGTAAATTTAGCTTCTTATTAATGGTTTATCTGGAATGTGAAGGATGATTCATTAAACCAGGTTGAGGATCTGATCAGTGCATGCTAATGCTTTAATCAATATGGACCTTACAAGACTCTGAGCTACTGCCTGTATCATTCTTCCTTGAATGACTACAAGTGATATGTAAGTTTAAAAAGTGTATTTATAGAATGAAACATAATTTTTTTTTTTTTTTTAAAAAAAGCTCTTATGACAGAACATCACCATTTTGCCTTATCTGGTGATATGTGCTTCATAATGTTGTGACATACTTTCAAACCATGGTATAATAAATATGATGTAGCCGTGTTAGCTGACCTGAGGTCACCTGTGTATTTTTATAATAGTGTGCAGTACATATTAAATTCCATTAGATGATATGTAGCAGTTGTCTATCAGTCAGACAATTAGTTGGAACTGGCCCAACGTGCACCACATTAGGAAAATCTTTTGTGTTTAGACGACATTCATTCTTCTCAAAATAGCTACTGACAACATGGCCCTGAGCCTGGTGCTTAATCTGAAACACTTAAGTGCAGCTCCTCCTAGAAAAGACGAGTGAATGTGTGTAAAGGTGTATCTTCAACCTGAAATGTCTTCAAAGCTGACATAGCAAACAGAACGCCTGAGTGTTTTGACTGTTGTAGCAGTCTTCTGTCATACAGAGCAACTGTGTGTATTTTGTCGCCCCTTAGTGGTGGGAACCAGTCAGAACAGTGTTCTGCTGCAATGCAGACCAAAAAAAATTCATGTGTGAATTGATGTGTCTAAATGATAGTGGTTAGAAGCAGCTGACCTTTCAAAAAAAATATCTAAAGTTATTAAATGTCCACATTGTCTTTATTAAACCAACTATCAGTCAGCTTCAGCTGGCAGAGCTTCTGAAACACCAATGTTTCTTTGTTGACAGAAATCATGGCAAGCAGAGGATGTCAGTGACTCAGTCCCGAGAGAGCGAGCCCTGAAAACTGTCAGTTTCCAGGAGTCAGTCAGCGTCATCACTGACAGGCCTGTAGCCATGGAACTGGAGAGCCAGCAGATCCAGCACGACTGTCTCAGCAGTCCCAGTAACAGAGCCCACAGTCCAGTTGGAATGAAAGTAGAGACTCCTGACAGTGAGGTAGTGCAGGTATGCAGATCAAAACAAGTTAACTAAAAGGTTTTAACTTCTTGTTTTATTATTTGAAATTGGCGGCACATTTTGTCACAGTATTTTTCAGTAATTTGAAATATGACTGTTGTTTCCACAGGAGATCTGCTACCTGGACCAGGTGTTAGATGCAGCCTCAGACACACCCACAAATGGGAACTCCTCTCTGTCGTGTCACACCAAACCCATCAGCATAGATGGAACTTCTCCTTCTGTGTGTGTGTCACCCTCCTCCCCTGTCAATCACCACTCGATCGTTGTGGAGGGACAAAAACAAACCACGTTTCTCCACCAGGACGAGTCTGCCGTTAAAACCAACGGGCACGCGCAGAGAGACGAGTCTGGGGGCGGCAGGGCAAAGTTTGAGCTGCGAGCATTTCAGGAGGAGAAACGCCCGGCCAAGCTGTTCACCCCCGGAGAGGAGCAGCAGGTCAGGGTGACGAGGAGACGTCCCTCAGAGGAGGTAAAAGGCTTCTGGATAATGTATCAGACTGTAACAAATACGCTATTCAGAAACACAGCCACAGGAGACCACGGTTTGTTTTATCAAATCAAGTCTTATGAAATAAAAATGATGTAAAACAAGCAAAAATGAGTTACTTGGGGTAGGTTTACCCCATTCACTAGCATGCTTTTGTTTATAATGATAAATAATCATTCTAACACGAAAAACAACAAAATAAAATGAAATGATTAGTACTTAATGCAAAAAATGTGCTTGCTTTCAGTTGCTCTATTTTAATACCACAGGCCTACTCTTAAAGACCAGTGTTCCTTCATTATTACTATACAAAATATAAAACACCTGGAAACATTTTTAATGTACAACCTACGTAAGTAGAAAGGTCATGACTGAGATCACTGTAATGTTACTGCCACATAAGACTTCATATTGAATTGTGAAATACATTCTTGAAGGAAGGAATTTTGAAATTGAAAGTGTGTGGCAACTGTCAGTGACTCATGATATGACATCAAAGCCCAAAAAGACATATGTGGTAACATATATAGAAACAATGGTAATCCCCTGAAATTCTGTCAACAGAAGGGGCTCAAAACGCTGTTTTTGATCCTGATTGTAATATTAAAGCGTCATACTAAGACCACAGGCCTCAGGAGAAGCCTGAAAACTGCGACCCTCTCCCACAATAGTTACACTTACTCATACACTAAAAGATTTGGCCAAGACTCGGGATTTTGCAAGGTTACTATTTGCAAGGAGTACAACTTAATTCCTTGAGAAATTGTTCCCGTCATGCTGCAGATCTCCAAGGAAGAAAAACTGCTGAGTAATGGAACAGACACAGAAAGAGCTTTAGTGGTTTGTTCTGAAAAAAAGACAGCTCTGACTGAGATTTATGAGCACCTTACACTGAATGATCGAGACACAACTGCTGTGATTTTACCGCAACACGATTGTGTGACACTGACGTTGCTTGAAAAGCTGTTAGCATTACTTGTAAGATGGCGTTAACCAGCACACAATACACAATAAAAACTTTCTTTGTTTCCTTGTTGGTGCACTAGTTTATTGGAAATTCTCTTTGTACATTTTCACACTCTTCTTCTCCTGGTTTGTTTTTCCATGTCAGGTTCAGGAATTGGAGCGTGAGCGTCAGGAGCTGATCAGAGACCAGGCAGTGAAGAAAAACCCTTCGATTGCCCAGCGCTGGTGGAACCCTCCTCAGGAGGTAGATCCCCATTTAATCTCTGGTTGTTTTCTTTTTTCATTTAAACTGTGTTGTCCTAATGACAAATTGATTGATTTGCCATTTTGTGGTTTCAAATCATTCAAGATCCCTTTGGAAGAACAGCTAGAGGCAGATAAGCTCGAGTCTCTCAGGAGGTACCAGGAGAGGAAACAGCAGCGACATAATCACACTTATGCATACACACAGGTAAGACACACAAACACATGCACAAAACAAAGGAGCTCAAGCTCACACACTCAAACGTGTTCTTTGACTTTGAGGAAGCATGATAAATTTGGACTGTAATAGATAAAATAAAGATGTCTTAAGCCTTGTTGCTGTGCAGTTTTCTAATTGACTCTTTTGTATTCTGTACTCTCATCTGTTTTGCAGCCTCAGGTGTCAGGCCCTCCCACAGTGGTAACCCTTGATTCGGAGCTATCCAGGAAGGAGGACATCGTGGAGGAGCAGATCAACTTCTCCTCTGCTAGGAAGCAGTTTTTGCAAGGGGAGGCTACCAAGAAGGATGTAGCTCCTCAAATATACTCTGCCAAACCCTTCTCGAAATCCACAGCCAGGGGCAGCCATGGGAGCAGTGACATTGTTGCAGAAACTGGGGAGACGCACGTGACCTGGTCTGATGAAAGAACTAAAGATGAATTCACATGTGCGCTAGCTGTGATGACAGTCCTACCTGAGGAAGAGGAAGCAAAAGGTCATTTCCATCCAGCTTTTCACCCAGAGGAGTCTGACTCAGGACTGGACGAGTTATCAGTCCGCTCTCAGGACACTACTATATTTAGCTTGGATAATATTTCTGACAGCGGGGCTTCGCTACCCCCTACCCCATTGCCACTTACCCCTGTGTCACCACCTACCCCTCAGCCAACTACTCCAGTCAACGGGCAGATGAGTGGCAGTCCAACAGAAGATGAGCTGGAGTACCACGCTGGGGTTCTTGTTCAAAATGCCATCCAAAATGCCCTAGCAGCTGAAAACGTAGAAGACTGGCAGCAAGCTGACTTGAATTCTTCACAGCTGAGTACCCCTACATCTCCATGCTCTGTATCCACAAGCAGCCCAGTGCCAGTTTCTTCCTCCCCTGTGTCTTCTGGTGGAGCCCCCAGTTTCCAGTCACCTGTGTCCTCCAGTCCTGCGCCATCCAACTCATCCCCACAGCCAGACAGGCAGCCAGTGGTGAGAGTTGTTTCCCAAGAGAAGCCATCAGAATCACAAGAGGCTCAGAAGCAACAGCAGTCCCCAAGACCAGCACAACAGCTCCAGACGCCTTCTCCTCCACC